TGAAATTGGGGAGTTTTTAATTTCCTGATGTGTGTGCATCAAGACAGGATTGGTTATTTTTTTAGCTAGATATGCTTTAGTCAAAATAATAGCAGAGTAGTTAAGTGAATTAAAATGCTCTCAGTTTAGTGTCAGAAGGGATGGTTCTTGCTTCCAGCCTGGTCTTTAAAAACTGTGAAAATGTGCAGCAGGCTGATGTCACTTGTTTCTAATTAGAGCCTTGTTGTATTCTGCGTTTGTAGGACTGATTTTAGTATCTGCAGCTGAAGGAAGGAAACCCCTCAAACGTTAATGTATCCGAGAGCGGGGTGTGTGGGCTGTACGAGGGAAATCCACTGCTGCCCGTGCCAGGTGGAGGGCTGAAGCCGGCAGCTTTTCCTCTGGCCAGACTTCCATTAATCTTAGCAGAAAGGTGAAAAGCGTTCTGCACATCCAACTGGAATTTCCCCCCCCCTTGCTTGGGGGGGGGGGGGGGGAACCAAACCCAAACAATACCTGCTATTTGTGTGATGCTCTGAACGAGAAGTGTGTTTCTCTCCGTGGGTCTGTAGCAGTAGCTGGGGAACCGGGGTGCTGCGTGTGCTGGCCTCAGCCGGGGCAGGAGCGGGGGATGCACAGGGTGTTTGCTGCCACTAGGCAGCAGAAGTAGAAACTTCCACTTCTTGACATGCAGACGATTTTGACTTGAATGTGTTTGTGTGAGTAAGGATTTGTTTTTTACAGTCTGTCAGTCACGTGTTTTATGACGTTTTATCGTAATGGATGAGAGAGAAGGAATGGTCATACTTCTCAAAAGCTTACAAAGGCAACAAACAGTTGTTAATCATGTTCTTTTTCTGAATGACAAACTGATAATGTATAAATAGTTAGAACAAGTTAATTGTAGCTGTACAACATTTTTTATTAAGCTTCTTTTTAAACTGGGCATAATAAATCACTTACTGGGTTACAAGTCAATAATACAATGTCGGGGGGGGGAAATGCATTTTCTTTTCATGTACTTTAAAAAGCATCTTGAAAGTAAGGCATGCTGGAAGAGTTGTGGGGCATGCAACACCTATGTATGGGGTGCTGTCACTTGATGTTGCTGTGAGGGAGCTGAAGAGCAGCTGGGTGCCACTGGCGGCCGTTGCCTCCCACTCCGGTGTGAGACCACATTGCGGTGTGTCGGGTTTTGCTTGTTTTCTGTGTTGGGCTGGGGGGATGGGGGGCCTTGGGTTCATCACACTGCGTTGCTGCAGCAGCTGCTTTCCCAGCAGAGAGGAAAGGAAACTAGTGGGCCAGCTAGAAATGTCTCAGGGGCCAGATCCAGTCAGCATATCCTGCCAGCACAGGTAATCATTACTAGTTTACCAGTACAACATGTCTTGGCTGGATTAAAAGTCTGTGTTTTGCAGGAGAGTTAAGAGGATTGTGGGTTGAGAGTTTCTGTTAAATCTCTAATAGTGGCAGGAGTTTGGGGGTAGTTGTTTCAAAAAGAAATAAAAACCAGCAAATGCAGCATGGGCGGCTGAAGTTGTAAAGCAGACTGTGTTATTAGCTGCAGAAGGGTTAAACAACAATATTGACTGTTTCACTCATAAATTATAATTAATATGTCTTTTTATTACTGACTCAATTTCTGCTGCTAGCTTGGACTTTTCTGTTACTGTCAATGACATTTGGCCGTTCTGAACGTGGCCACACTTTGCTCAACAGTCAGTGCAACCTGTGGGGCCCAGAAACCTCCTGCAAGAGCAGGGTGGGGATGAGCAGCTAACAAGCAGGGCTCCAAAGAACAGACAACTTCCTCCATTGGCAGAAAATCCCTTTAAAGGAGTTTCTTCCCTTTCCAGCCATGTGTCAGAAACCTCTGATAGAAGGGGACTAGAAACTGGATGATGGATTTTAAGAAGCTGTAGCTCCCCCCCCCCCCTCAATTACCGCTTGCATTTACAGGGTAAAATTAATTAAGTTAGTTATATTTACTCAAAATCTTGGATGTGTGAATTACTTAGAACTTTTAAAATAGAGAAATAATTTCTTGCAGGGTTCACAGGCTTTTTTTTCAGGCTTGGTTGGTTACTTTGGTTTATTGTCCCCATGATGCATGCTGCTATCTGAAATGCTCTGGGGGACACCTTTTAGATGTCTAATTCTGATTAAGGGCCACTGCAATGTTCAAAGCAAAAATACTGAAATAATTATAGAAATACTATTAAAGACCAATTTCTAACAAAGATGAGAAGGAAGATGGATTTGGAGAGTTAAAATGTAAAGCAAAATAAAAGGGGAAGATGCTTAGAGGTTAGAAATACATCATGCAATTAGCAAAGAAAATGTCTAATATGCTGCTTGTCTGACAGTCTTTTACTTGTTCACTTTGGTGTCATCATTTTCAACGCGCAGCTTTAACCATAGAAATTTTTAGGGGTGTGTTTACATGTTAAGGTGGAAAAAAATGGCCAAAGAATAATCTGTCCGATCAAAACGTTTAAAAGTGGTACATTACAGTGTATAGTATTCAAGATGAGGACTTCAAAGAATGTTTGGAGAAATCAAACATACTTGATTGTGAGGCTTTAACTGATAATTTTATTTTAAAATTACCAGACATGTAAAATTGACATTAAAGATAAGCCTAGAATTAGGGCTGGGGGAGAACTTCGGCATCCAATTCAGTTTTCACCAAATTGTGTGTTGTTTTTCTTAGGAAACTTTTTTGCAGATTTAAATTAAAACTTTTTCTTGGTTTGTGTTTTTTGGTTTTGGGATTTTTAAAAAAATTAAAAATCATATAGAAGGTTTTTATTTGGAAACACTCCTCATGCATTCTGTGGTGATTTAAACTTAAATTTCTGTATAATGCTCATCTACTACTGTGCCCTGGGCTTGCACCTAGCCTCTGCCTCCTGTGGCACCCCGTGAGCAGGACCTGCCAGGCTGGCTGTCTCTGTCTTTGTGTCTTCTGAAAGGTAGAACATGCCGTGTTTTGTGAAATGTAGTTCAAAAAGACCATGGTTTACATGGAAAATATGAAGGTGATGTGTACATTACTAGAGCTTTCCTGAAACATTGCAGCAGCGTTTCCAAATGGAAAACTTCAGATTTTTCAGTTAAAAGACTTGTGTTTCAATTTTCCATCAATACAATTCTAATTCTCATTGTGTACAGGTCCTCATTGTGCACAAAAGCAATGCTAACAAAGATTCATTTCCCAGGAGAAAAGGCAAAAGCAGCACATATGCGATCCCAATACAAATAATTACCCCCACAACGTATGCAGTATGGTAATATGGGGTTAAGCATGCCATGTGAAGGCTCATGTGGTGGCCCAGCAAACATGAAGAACAACAGGATTTTGAACAGCCGTATTATCCGGACATTTAGTTAGGGCTCTCTGAACAGGCACGCTTGAAAAACCAGTTGAACAGCAACATGTGCTGGTTGAGCGCAGAGTGAAGCAAGTAAGGCTGGGCGGGCATTGGAAATCCTTTAAGGAAACAAATATTCTCGGCTGTTGATACTTCTCCAGGGCATCAGGGATGTGAGGTGTCCTTCAGGGTCGCAGGACTGCGGTTTGCATTCCTTTTGTTAATGACTGAGCCATACCAAAGGAAGTCATACTTCCATTTCAGAAAACCTGTAATATTAACTTCTTTTGGTTTGGGTTGTCTTGGGCTAGGTTGATTGAGAGAGGAGCCGTCTTTGGTTTGGTTTGTGCAGTGTCCAGCACAAGGAATTACATACCCGTGAGTGAGGTTCCCTAAGAGCTGTTGCAATAAGAGCAAAGTGATGTCTCGTTCTCTAAAATTACATTTTAGTAAAATACATGCTCTAAAACCCCCATAAAATTCACGTGGAGACAAAATATTTAATGTGACTACTGGTTGAATTGTATTGATTACAGGAGTCATAGAGGGTGCGCTTCTCTGAAAATTGGCAGTTTTAGAAAGAATCAAAATCGTTTGCTTGTTAGGTGAGTTATCACAGGGACTGGTCTTTTTCTGTCTGTGTTTTGAGTAGTTACTAGTTTCACCTAAAAGTTAGAGATACTGTGTGTTTGTCATAATTTAATTGTTTTTATTATGTTCTGCTAAGAATATGGAAGCCCTTTATTTTCTATTTGTTGCTGTGAAATTGTTTCAAGTTTTACGACTTCACAGATACAGACTGTATCAGCAGTTTCCAATTGTGCATAGTTATGATTTTGGTGTTTTACAAGATTCTGGAGGTTAAGTCCCCCAGCTGTCACTGTTCTCTTTTTGTTTGCTGCTGACGGAAACACCTTAGCAGCAGCAAGTAAACTGCTGGCAAAAGGAATTGTGGCACTAAGATGAAGTTGTTTCTAATCTAAGTGCTTCTCGGTCGAGAATCGCATTATGAGGAAAAAACATTTTCAAGGAATCAGTCAATTGTAGCTTTTTTCTAATGTACTATATTTACACTCTCTGACAATTTGAGCTGAGTGCAGAGAAGACCTGGCCTAATTGCAAGGGCTGCAAAAAAATACTTGTACTTTTTTCCCCTGAATAAATGGTTAGTTCTTCAGGATGAAATGCATATCTGCGTTATGAAAGAAAACAGTAACAGTTCTGTGTCTGTGCTCATTAAGTGATTGGAAAAGAATGTACAAGGCCAGATTTTTCTTTGGATCTACCTAGATTTCAGATCACACACTGGAGCATATTCTCTGATGCTTCTAATTCTAAAGGGAATATTGTACATTTTGATGATACTTTTATTATCACTTTTCACTTCCAAGAATGTCTAAGATTTTGGGTACAGTCCTGTGTGATAATATGCCAAGAGTCAGCCTTTGTAATTCTGGAGTATAAGTATAGAAAATAACACAGCATTTCATAATGTATCTATAATTCATATCAGCACCAAAGTGTTTATGATTTGAAAGAGATATGCATTACTTCTGTGAGACTGCATGTAAATACATATATTTAGGCAACTTTTTTTTGCAACGTTGCTGACTTAACTTGTAAAATACTGTTGTTTTTTCATCTTAGGTCTGAGGGTAACTGTGTTACTAACATCATCCCTCATGGTATTGGGAGCTGGACTGAGATGTGTTCCAGTTTCAGACCTAGAAATTAGGAAGAAGTAAGTGAATTAGTTATTTTTAATATACATATTTTATACTTTCTGTTAATGTAACTTTTGCTGCTACTGCAATGAAATGTTAGTACAAATTTTCTGTATGAATTTGATATGCCAAATATTTGTTGTGTGGACGTGGGCTTACGTGCCTGCTTTGCTTCTTAAATTGATTTTTCTAGTTCTTTTTCTACATAGTATCTGAAGATCAGAAAGCCCTTCACAAACTTGAGTTAATTAAGCCTCACACTGTCCTGCATAACTAATATTAATCTGCTTTGCAAACAAGGAAGTAGAGATTCAGAGAGGTTCAGAAACTGGCCCAAGATCACACAGGGAACCATGCCACAAAACCCAAAAGTATGTAATTTATATGCAAATTTTAAATAATTAGTTCATGTTTCTCATATTGGATATATGGGATTGTGCAGTGAGACAGATGAATTCACACGAAATGGCCTTTTTCATGTAGTCTCTTCCAGTTTGCATTCCAAAGTAGTCTTGTACTTTCTCTGTGGTTGAAATGAATGCCTTCTGTACACATGCAATTTAAAAGTTTGTGATAGAGACAGATTCCGTCCTAAAAATCACACAATCCAAACAATTCAATTGTCCCGTCAACATATCCTGAACCTGGGAATCCTTGGTAAGTACAGGAGTCACACTCATTTTGTACAGCCAAGGAATATGGATCACTTGTTGTTCACTTAACTTTTGCCTCTCATGCTGAAGGAGGAAGGAGTACAGGCATTACTACATTTTTCTGCTGCTTTAAAAACAGTAGTAGCACTAGCTCTTCACTAGTTATGCTTGCATAATATGTAAGCATTAAGAAAATAACTTGTTTATAAAGGGTTTTTATGTGTTTTTTTTCCCCTTGAATTCTAGTCAGCTTCCAGGCAGTCCTTGTATTATTTCAGCAGGTTCCTTTTTTCTTCCTTAGTATTGCTTACCCTGAAAATCAGCTTGGAAACCTTTAATTTGAGAAAGAAAATGTTTGGTGTGAAGTAGAAGGCGGATGACTGGGTACCATGGATAAAACAAAGGAAGGAAGAGGTTCAGAGAGAGGACTGAGAATGTAATAAACACATTGATTGTAAAACTAACCCCGATGATGAGTAGTAGCTAGTATGTAATGAATGGCTTAGTAAACTAAGTGCAGCGTGGTGAGTAGGGGGGATGCAATTTCAGTTCTTAGGAGCTGAGTGCGTATAAGGAAACCCAAGGTGCTTCTGATGTTAGGTGCCTATCTCAATGTTGTGTTCAAGGACTTTGTGAGCAGGGGAGGCTGAACTAACCGTATTGTGCTACCCTTCACAGTGACCCTTTTAAGGTGAAAATGTACTGTTAAGGTGGCCAGGAAGAGCTGTCCTCGTTGTGCCCTTGTTTTACCTTTTCTCAAGATGCTAAGGGGTGCTCAACATCCAGTTCGTCCATTCTGACCTTCTCATGATTAAAAAAAAAAAAAAAAAAAAAAAAAATCTTTTAAATGGGCCACATGGCTTAAATGCAATGAAATGTGGTGTCTTATGTAGTTCTTCATTTATGATTTATGCCAAAAGACTTGTGCTGCCCTGGGCTTTACCAAAGCAAGGATGAAGACTGTAAAAACCCAAGAAGAAATTCCCGAATGAGATTTAGATGTGAGGTATCATTTGGGGAGAGGGAAGGAAAAGCTTCCACATGTTCTGATCACCTTTAAACAAGGTTTTCCAGTGTAACTGTAGCGAGGAGACCTAGGAGAAGAACAATGAAATAAATGCCTAAGGAGAAACATTCAAAGAACAGCTTCTTT